CCCACCCTCTCCCCCCACACACACACTGAAACACGTATTCCTATCAGGAGCTCTCTGAGCTGCAGGGTCCTGGCCCTGCCTGGTGCCAGTGACACACTGCACACCCCAGTCGGGAGTGCCCACATGGTCCCAAGCAAGAAACCACGGGGTCAGAGAACGGACCTCAGACAGACGAGTGTGGCCCTGGCCCCTCCCTTGCTCAACCGAACAAGGATTTGTTGAACACCACTTACATGTCAGGTGCAATGTTTATCACCTCCCTTGTCAAGTGTTTTGATTTTTGTCTCATATCTCTGAGAGTTTTTATTTAGAAAAGTGATTGATATTGTATTTTGCTTTGTCTGACACTGTAGCTTTCTAAACCCAAAATAGTGCTTATTATATGTAAGACAGTGAAGCTGAAAGATGGATACAGACAGGACCTGCAAGTGTTACTCCTTGGACTATACCAGCAAAATAGTCAGTTGCAGAGATGTGTACAATACACGACCTTCACCGGCATCTTCACTGGATTTGTAGCAGTACTGTTTCAATAGGGGTGTTGCTTCAACAGGGAAACATCAATCTACATTGCTTTTTAGAACAAATGTTTCAAAGCAAGCAAATCAAAAACAGGAAAGTTATAAAAATTGTACTGTTGCAAGTAATGACCATATTATCATAATAACTAAAGAAAATTTAGAGATTGATAATCTAATTCCATCATTTCCTTTTTCCAGGAGGAAACAGAGGCTGAGGTCGACTCTGTGGGATTAGCACGTGCACACGTCACAGGAAGTCTCTGCTGCCTAACACAGTGAAGTAAGTCAGTGACACAGTGATGCTACTAAGTAAGACAAGCTGTGCGCACCCACTTGCTTGGGAGTTTAAACATTTATCTGTCTTAATTCCTAAAATTTTAAGATTCCCCCAACAAATGCTTATTAAAGAAACTTAGACTAAAATTGAGGAAGAAATACTTTATAATTTACTGAAGATATATCACTAGAGTGGTCAAGGTAAGAAAGAATCACTAAGAAGAGTCTGAGCAGTTGGGAAGCTAGTGTACATTGAAGTACAATGCTAAATTTATAAACAGATGAAAAAATACCCAAAGGGTAATAATCAAAAGTGATTATATAGCTATAGATTTTAGTTAATCTGGACTATAAACTGGTACATGCAAAAACAGTCATGTGACATGGAAATATTCCACAACTCATCTTCTCTCCTCTCAGGGATCCCAGGTGAAACCGAGTTGAAAGAATCAAAACTGTTTGTTCCTTGTTATAATAAAAGTTGTTTTGAAAAAATAAAATAAAAAATTTTCTATCTTCTCGGAACGCTACTCATATGGCACTAATTCTATTAGCATGTAATTTAGGATAGATATTTTATTTTTGTATTAATTGCTTAAAATGCTAACCTTATCTCCTCTGCTACATGGTTAGTGCTGTGTAAGGAATGTATTTCTTTTGTACAGATGATCAATTAGGAGTCGCTTTATTGCTTGACTGATAGAACAAAGGCCTTTCCAAATCAGAAAGGTTATAATCTTTGTGCTCCACAGTACTAGGCACACAGTAACAAATGGTTGCTGTGTACATGAGTGAATGAATGAATGAATAAAAAACTCCCGATGATGCTGGGAAAGCAGCACGGTCACCAATCCCCATCTGTGGCTGTCTGTGTAAAAACAGCCTAAAGCAAGGCTCCTGGAGAGATAAGTAAGCAAGCAGTTCAGCTGACTTTCAGGCAAGCGTCTTAGAGATCAAGTTCAACTCTCTCCTACCAATTAGGGAAATGACCTTTAAGCATCACGACTAAGGTCACACAGCCAGGAAACAGAGCTAGAATCAAGATCACCTGACGGTGGGTTTGGTAGTCTTCCTACAATGTCACCTCACTGCTGAATCTGTAAGATCCTGAGCTGCTCCTGCACAAGGGAAGGCCAGGCCACAGCTAGCATGGCTGCTCTAAGTCCCCACAACTACTTAAAGATGACTAGACGGCTTGGGCCCATTCCCACCGAGGCCAGCCTTAGGCTTCCAACCAGACAGGAAGTTTCTTGATGACAGAAATCAATCTTAAATAGCTGTGATATCTTCACAATGTCCAGGAGAAGACTGGACTCATACACGATCTTTAGTAAATGCCGGGTGATTTAAGATGAAGAATGAATTCTAAGAATATAATTTAATTGTGAGATCAAGCCAAAACTGAGCAGTCCCCAATGCTGAAGTTATGGGTCTCTCTGGCATTTCATAAGGGAAATGAGGGCTTATGAAAAGAACGTGAGGATGATGGCAGAAGTTTACTTCCTATTAAATGGAGTTAGCGTGGGCTACTTCTTGACATACACACACAAATAAAATAAAAGTCCATTTCCTGAAGTACTTATTCTGTCCAGAAGCTTATACTATATCAGCAGGGTCCTCTTTTCCTTACACAAGCGTTGGGAGCATAACAGCTTTGCCCCAGTGACCTTAAAACCACCACACATTCGGGGAACAGGAGGGGGAACGGATTGTGCAGATCTGTTACTTGTGGATAACGACAGTAACTACAGGAAAAACAATAACCGTCCAAGAAGAGGCCTTTGTCAGGAACTCACAAAGAGACCTAAGATGAGTATATTTAGAGGATGAATTGTAACACCAATTTATGATCCATGTTTATTTCTCCATGGGATATAAAGTTCAAATAATAAAACTGCCATATTTAGCACTGGGAACTAAGTGAAGCCTGATGAGCTCTTATTTTAATGCATAAATGGCAGGTTTCTTTGCCTGCTCAAAATACGGTATAATTGATTTCCGCTGAATAGGAAAAATTCCGAAGTGACAGCTGACTTTTTCTAATACTTATGATGACAAGTGCCAAGGCTGGCTTTTGTTGTTTTCTTTTGGGCACACTCACCCCTAAACTAGAGAAACAAAATGTGGAAATCTACTTTTCTGACACTGTGGCATACTCTGCATTTCAGAGTTTTCAGATATATCTTAACACTCAAATTCCAGTAGGATATGATGAAAAGAGGGACATTCAATTAATGAGGAATCCTAGAGATGCTTTTTAAAAACCTGGAAAACTACATAAAAAATAGTGATAGCTTCCCTCTAGCGAGTTTGATAAATTATATTGGTCAAGAGAAATAATCATTCAGACAAATATAATCTGAAAATCACAAGCCTTCATGAACTGACCATGATGTACTGTGAAGCATATTTTCCTTAAAAACAAAAAGCAAAAGCAAAACCAGACACTAACCTGTCCTGTGTCACAGGGAAGTAAAGCAGGTAATCGGTTCCGTTAACTGTTATTCTTCCACTTCCATGTTCATAAACAACTACTTCTGCTTTCGCAGTCTTTCTTTTACCTTTAAAAATACAAAATTTCTATGAGCAAGCATCTGAAGGACCAATGCTTTGAGAAAGTAAAGCTACATTAAATTTTTTTCTCCTGAAAAACAATACATATAACACTGTATATAGGAAAGTTCTGTACCTACTACAAGTCAAACAAAAACAAAACAGGGAAACTATAGCAAAATCAATGTAATAAAGCTAATTACGAGGTAACTTTGTTCTTCTATCCCATAGGAGGACCACTACAATGATTTTTAAATTAGTTTTCACAAGCAACCAAGTAATTTATATTTATTTATACTACTTTTAAAAAAATTAACCAACTTACAGTGTTCTTTTATATTAAGAATATATATAATCATATAATTTTTTAAATATTTGAAAAGTATGATAAAATGTAATTGATAGAAATTAAAGTAATCCTTGGAAAAGGTCACATTTTTCTGAAAATGTTAATTGAAAATGACAAAGCAATGTTAAACATTGAAGAGTTGCAGACATATCATTTAATAAGTTGACTTTTAAAAGTTATGCCATGTCAAACGTCTGTGCATCCAGAAGGAAAACGTGAGTGAGGACCTGAAGTTTTCACGTTTCAGTTTTCACATCACTGTATTTTGATGACATGCTGATCACCGAGCACTTTCATTTTTACATAAGAAACCTTTATTATAAATATTTTATTGTTTGCACCAATTGAAAATGTGAAAATAAACAGACTTAACACAAATATGTGAAAATAAAAAGTGTTCATATGCTTGTGTAGGAATGTGTCCACATTTGTTCTTGCGCCATTAGAAAGTTCTGTTTTTAAAAACATCAACAGAATCTTTAAGATGAGGAAATCCAATGTAGCCGGAGCAAAAATAAACAAACAAATTAAGTGAATACCAGAGAGCCATGGCAAATAAAAATAATTGTAGTTTCTCACTCATCACGGAACTTATTTTCTCTCCACAGAATGTCATTACCTTCGCTTGTGCTGAAGGCCATTCCTTGCTCGTCATACTGCAAAGGTTCAATCAGCTGTTTCTTTGATTGAATGGTTACACTTTTACGAAACCGCTGTACAAATTCTTCAGCAGCATCAGTCTGCAATGTCAATAATCTTTCTAGCAGCCGAATGAAGTGCCCATACTGCAGACAATAAAAATTCATTAGAAGACGCAAGTGTAATTGCATTTGATGAATTTTTTCTATTTTTATAGACTTGGTCTTTCCAGTGTTGCTTTTCTTGATGAATTTTGACAGGATGACACGTCTGCACCTTCACGCTGCTTTTCAAACAGCATGCACTTGCCCTGTGGATCTTTAGTGCTTAGTCTTGTCTTTCGAGAAACAAAGAGATTTATCATTCAGAGAAAAGTCTGTTTCTCTGTATTTTGATTACATGAAATTGAGATTTAAATTCATTTCCAAAAAAATATTTAGATGATCTTCAAGTGTAATTTCTGCTCTTTTATTAGAACTGTATCAAGAGGAGCTTCATAAATAATTTTCAGTAAGTTATGTATAGTAAAATGGGAAGAGTTTGATTTTGAGAAAATGCACCTCTTAAATTATATTTCATAATACATTTGGCAAATATATCTTTAGCTGTTCAAGCTGTGTTACTTTAATGTTTATGATTTCCTTTAAAACCGAACAATCAAGCTATTTAAAAATTCAAGAGATACTTGACTTAAAGGGCAACCTCTTGAAATAAATTATCCTTGCTACTCTGCACATTTTTTTTAATAGTTCTCGAACATGTGATTAGAAAGTAAACAACTTGGTATTAACCCCTTAAAATTAGAAGTCAGAATAATCATTCTAAAGTGTTTATGCAGAAGGAAACAACTAATACTTGAGATCCTTAGTTAATATGGAGTGTGAAACCCAGTTTTTGATAACCTCATTTAATGTTTTTGCCAACCCTAAAAATCACACCCATCTTTGTTACCATTGCCTTTAGCGTGAAAACCTGCTATTAATAATTTGAAACATATAAAAATCTCACCAGTAAGACTAAGAGGACTGCTTCATTTACTGCTTCCTGTGATGTTACAATAAAAGAGAAGGCAACTTTCTAAGTAAGGGTGAGACACTTAGACACCTATGGTACCCTCCATTTACAGGTCTATGTCTTTTGTTCTCAGCTATCCTCTCTCACACCCTCTGTGACTACCGGTGAGCCTTCCAACGGCTAACTGCAGGTATGACATAGCCTTGCTCGTGACCACCCCTGCCTCCCTCATCTGGATACCAGCCCTAAGTTTCAGCCTTTCTTCTGATAGCCAGTACTCCAAAAGCACACAAGACACATACACATATGCACGTGTTTGTTTTGTCTTCATGGCTGCACACCTGTAACAAAGTCCTCGGGATGTCTTCAAAACAAAAAAACAAACAAACAAATAAACAAACATGCACTATAAAGATCAAAGCCGTCAGAAAACAGGCAACAGTGAAATGATGTGTTCGGGGAAGAAGCAGAGGGAGATTCTTCTGTTAGATCCAAGTGCCGTTAACACTGACTTGGCAGGTTGGATATTAGAAATTAACTCCAGGCCTATGACTCACCAAATGCCCGAAGCCTTAGTTGAGCGAACTGCAGCTTCTCCAAATCATTAATTTATCCAATATGTTAAATGAGAAAAAGGGCAATTTTGGTACATGACTTCAAATCTACATGGTGGCAAGGTACTAGCAACGTTAGCCACTGCCATGGAAGAAAAAAACTCTTCTTGGAACAATTCTGAAATTTATGTACACTCAGATCTTCCAGAAATAATTTAAATTTAGAACATGAAAATATTTGAAACATCAAATTCCCTCTGATGATACTGGCAGACATTAGAACATTTAGCAAAATAAGAATCCAATTGGGGCGTAAAGCAGGGGGTCACCAATTTTATAGGCTATGACATTCATTCACCTGCGGAGTCTGTGAAAAATATGGATTCCTGGGTGGCAGCCCCTATAACTTCTGAGCTACATCGTATCTTAAGATTGTATTTTGAAACCAGCATTCCAAGTGATTCTGATACAGGTAGTCTTGCAGATTCCAAGGTGAAAAATGGTGGCCTTAGAGATACTGTACACAGGTAAGCCAGGAAGCAGTAAATTGTATGAAAGTAACCATGAGCTTCATTCCTTTTCTATTGAACCTGTAATAGCTCCTTACACTTACCATTAGCTTGTAAAATTAGCTATCTGCCTTACTGAAGGAGATGAAAAATGACGTCTGTCATGCTTTCCTAGAATGACCTAGTGGAAGACATGATGGCTCGTACATAAAGAGGATCTGGAGGCCAAGCATGTCACCTTCCCGACCACAGGCAAGGCCCTCTCATGGCAGAAATCAACTATAAATATGTTTTAAAAAGGAAAATTGTCTTAGAAGCACCTGCCTCTGTGGAACATTACTATTAAGATCCTAAATACAGCAACCGTCTGCATTCTTACGTCACAGGTCCCCTTAAACTAAAAAGATTAATTACTCACATCTTGATCTGACAGTTTTTCCACTAACATTTCTTCTAGTTCCTCCTTAATCAGCCATCTGCTGGTAATCAGGTCTCTGTTAAAATATCACATATATTCTCTTTTAAATTAACCATGCAATTAGTTATATCACAAAAGATCCCACATGTAGTAGTGATTTTTGATTGGTAAATAAATTTTTGTATTGTATAGCTGTAAAATTTTATCCAAGTAAACTATTTTTTGACACATTATTTCATTTCCTCAATTTACTTCAGAAAAGATACCCAGTTAGCAAATGTTTCATTTGAAGAGTTACCACGCCACTGGAACTCATTTCATATTAAAAGCCACAAGACTTCTTAAAAATTAATATGTCACTTGTTTTTCATAATTTACTTCAAAGGAGATGTTGTGGTCACAAAGTTAACCTGTCAATGGGCTAAAGTACTAATAAAGTCCAAATAAAGGGCCAGGGTTTGTATTCAAAGACTCGCATCTTTGCGTAAGAAGAAATATACGAATAACCAGGCTGAAACTGAAAACTCGCTGCTCAGGTTGATAGATCTAATCTATTATTGTTTGCTAAATGGAAGCACAAACCTTGAAATACTCCCCCAAATTAAAGGATGTAAGTTAAGTAACTGTGCAGCAATATATATAAAACTTCTGAGGATACCATACTCAAATATAGTAATTAAATACCATTTAATATATAAATATGGAATGAAGTAACATAAAATAACCTTAATATTTACTTCCTCCCAAACCAAAAAATCACCTGTTATTTTGACCCCTAACTTTAATGATTAATGCTGGAATACTGAACCAATATTTTAGGCTTAAGGTATGCTTAAAAAACACTAATGATAAGTGGCACGTTTTTAGTTCAAATTTTTCATATATTTTAATGCAAGAAAAGAACTTACTTGGTTTTAGCTTTTTCTGGAAACAGACCTTTGTCTTGCAACTGATTTTGATGCTTTTCTACTTCACGTAGCTTTCCATATGTGTCCTATGGTAAATAAAATATACATGCTAAAATAAGAGAGATGGTATGTCATTCATTACTTCTACTTTATATTTTCCCTTGAGTATCCCTCATTTCGAAAGTGACCTCCTCAAATAATCCAGTTGCACAGAAAATACTGAAATTTGATTTTTAATACCATTTCTTATTCAAACTAAATGATGAGAGTAATTTCAATGAGAATTTAGTGCCATACATACATTAATTGATTTTTAAATAACTGAGTTTTAAACAACTCTCTAAGAAACAACTCCAGTGAGGTTGGTGAAAATAAACCAAAGCTACAAACTATTTATTTTCCTTACTGTTCCACCAACAGGAATAAAAATTTTCCTTAGAAAAAAAATCTTAATTTATATAGCAATACACACTTTAAACCTAGAGAATTAACCAGTAAAAGTTATGGTATTTACAGCTGAACTACTTATCTAATATTTAATATTTATATAATATTTAAGTCGTCACTATGAAGTTTGTATCTTAAAAACAATTTTCTATTATATTTATTTTTCATTAGTTGATTTCTTTCATTAGTTTACTTCCTAACAAAGTCTGTGGCTGCATATCACTTGTTAAACTGTAATGCAAGAAGGGAAAATTTGCCATTTTGTTAGAACTTGGCAATAAAGGTTATCAGTGAAATATATTCTCCAGGAAATGAGTTTACAACAAGCAGAATAATGCAATTGTCTCCCAGTTTTTTGTTTAAGCAAACTTAAGTATTTGAAGACTCACATCCAATATGTGCATATTCCTTTACAATTTATGCATAACCTACCATACTAATACCGAATGAACAAACAGGCATTTTCAAAAGATTATTCAGAGATGACAGAAATGACATTTTTTTCAAAACAAAACTCATAGACACAGACAATGGTTTAGTGGTCACCGGAGGGGAAGGGGGAATGGAAAAGGATAAAAGGGGTCGAATGTATGGTGATGGAAGGAGAACTGACTCTGGGTGGTGAACATGCAATGTGATATATAGATGATGTATTATAGAAATGCACACTTGAAACCTATGTAATTTTACTAACCAGTCATCCCAATACATTTTAATTAAAAAAAAGAGAAATGACATTTTTTTCATGCTCATGATGACACCTTCCAGTATCACTAGCTGATGTCGGAAAACACAAGTTATTACTGATAGACACGTTCTTCCACATCTCAAAATAGTCTTAATCATTTCAAGTTTGGGGGGGCAATTTCTTATGGGCTCTGATGAGACTGCTGTATACACTACAATGATGCTGATAAAGAGTTTGGTTCTAACAGAAGTGTCTTTGCACAAAGCCACTGTCTTTGTATTTAGTGATGCTTGCATTTTATTATTATCATCATTCTGCCACCTCTTTTAAGGAATCCATTTCTCTCGTGGGAAAAAGAATACTAAAAAAAAAAAAAAAAAAAAAGGAAAAATACAAACATTATAGTCAACTATCATGACACAATTCCAGATCAACAAGATCAATGTATACTATCTCTCTAGATATGACAGAATACAAAGAATACTAAAAAAAAAAAAAAAAAGAAAAGGAAAGAAATAAGGATATAAAGATTGAGCCTTTGAGTTTCATAAATATAGGTGAGAAAAGAATGTACCTCTCAGTGTTCAGGGCATAGAAGTTCATTTCTTGTGGCTGGGGAGACTCATAAGAGTGTTTGTTTTGTTGTTCAATAAAGGAAGTAGAATTGATAGCTGAGTAGAGACCAAGAAAAGAAGCAGAAAGAGAAGCAGCAGCTAGAAGCTATAAAATTGGGGCTGAGCTACAGATTCTAACTAACAGGAGACACGAGTATTTCAAACAAAGTGAACAAGCTAGCTCAGAAGTTCTAAACGTAAGTTCCCAGGGCAGCAGCACGGCATCCACGCCTGAAACTGGTGAGAAATGTAATTTCTCAGGCCCCACACAAGACTTTCTGAAAAGGAACCTCTGGGGTGGGGCCCAGTGATCTGCGTTAATGGTGTGCACTAAAGTTTGGATCTGTGTGCTAGAGCTATGGAGAACCTAGTTCACCACAATAGCAATGGGACAGATTCAGTTAATTCTATTCTAGTGTCCATATAAAGGATAACTATCTCTACAACTATATCCAAAGCACAAATCCAGCAGCTGTAGCAGAAGAATGTATCTGACAATTTACAACAAACAACTCTCCACCCTAAAGAAAGCAAGAACTAATGTGAGCCACCCACATATAGAACACGTACCTGGTATTCAACTCAAAATAAAACTTTACAATTTGTCTCCCAAGAATTGGTAAAACTCATTTTATTGTTTCTGGTTAGGGTATTTTTTACTCATTGTTAAAGGCTCAGATAGTGAGTTGTGACCCCAACTGAATAGTGTATCAGAAAAATTTCTATGCACCTGTTTCTAGAAAGCAACTCTCCAGTGCTCTGAACAGGTAAAATAAAGGAAAAGACCCCACACTGACTCCTACTCCACTTGTGTAAGTGGGTACAGACACAGTGCAAACAGCATCTCAGTGTGCGCCCAGCACGGGCCCATCGGCAGGCAGGACCCCAGCCAGACTGCTGCATCTGGGGACCCTGGGGACAGGATGGTGCCAAGTTCTCAGTTGTCTGCTCCAGGGTCCTCAGCTCTGAGAGCACGTAAGTCAGAGATGTTGTATCCTTCAAATCCAGGTAAGAAAATAAGAACCCAAGAGAATACCAACAACAGTTATAAGATACCCTCCCTGCTTGTAAGGGTCTACTTAATTTTCTGGAATAACCAAGGCAACTAAAATAAAAGTAACTGACCTGCTTCATAGGTAAGTTTCAAGTCAAACTCTGGGCTGCTAAATTCACCATCATTTTCCAGTGACTGTTGAGCAATTTTTACATCTGTATTTTTAAAAACATTTTCCTCTACTATGCTATTACCATCCAGTGTTATATTTAGCTCCATATTAATTTATCAATAGTGCAAGTAAAATAATCAGAAAAAAGGTGGAGCATGAAGAAACAACCCATGAATGGTACATGTCAAATTTCAAACATGGCAAATTCTATTTTTTTATAACAAATGTTTACACTTTGATGGCTGTAATCCATCAAATTACATAATGTTCATTAAGCCACCCCATATACTTCTTTAAATAATAAAATATATGTAAACTTAGCACAGTGCCTGACCTATACTTATGGTCAAGAAATGACAGCAGGGATGACGAATGGCATTCAAGAGTCAAATAACCGAGAAATGATTTTATTGGTGTATCATTTCTGTTTTTCTTTCTCTTCTACATAATAAAACCACTCTTGAGATTCTATCGTGGTTAGTCAGAAACAACAGTTCTCTGAAAAGTAGACTCTATAGCTTCAACTCCCTGAAGAGATAGATGTGTACTAATTTACATCCAAAAATCCTTGCGGGTATAAAATATGCCAGGAACTGTCAACATCACAGAGTATCAGTGGTAGCTTCTGTTATATTGTTAAGTTTCCGCTTAATTTTTAAGGGACACTAGAGAATTAGTATGACCCACCTACGCTAAGTTTATATACTGTATTTAATGGTATAATATTCAAATATGACAGGAATAACCCAGATGTGAAATGCTGAATCATTAATCACAGCTATGATTAATATTTCATAAAATCAAAGCAAGCCTATCCACCCCTCGTGTCATCAGATTTCCATAATGTATGAGTCAAATTTAGAAGGTGCCTAATTTGAAAATACCAGATGCTCAGGTTGCAGAAAAGGAGTGCTTCAACTAAACCCTTCCAAGAGCATGAGCAATATGATTCTTGGTCTAAAAATCTGATTGTAGTCTTCAAAAATCTGTTTTGGTTATATTAATCATGTGGAAATTCCAATTTTAGGAAGGGTAAACAAATAACATCTCTTGGGAGAGTGGTATAGGAAAAGCCAACTGTATTTTGATATACACATATACAATAACATACTAATTGTAATTAACATCTTAGATACTAGTTCAATAACAGAAAAATAACTGACTTAAAATAAGTTTAAAAAAAAATCACAGAAAATCAATTTCCTAAATAAGGATCTTCTCAATCTTCTGGCTACTGGCATATATAAAATCAAATGAAATAAATGTAAATATAATTCATTTATCAAGGTTTCTGCTATTTATCTAAAGTTCCAAGTGATACACTTCCATTGCAGATCCTTGCTATCTCTTTGTAAATACAGTATGCTATATAGTTTATAAATCATGTAGTGCTAGCCAACATAAAAAAGGAAATAGTCTCACATATAGGTCATGTAGAAAAGTACTCTGCGAAAGTATACACCCAGGAGTAATTACATAAAAGCGTGTGCAACTCAGACACCATTTATTTTTACTACTCAAATTAAAGCTCTACCACATACTATAATAATTATACCATTATAAAAGAAGTAATCTGATTAAAACAACAGAGGCAATAAGTTGAATCAGCTTCTAAGAAATAATTTTCCTAATTGTTACATTTGGAACATGCAAAATATACAGTGGTAATTATTCCTATGTGAGGAAAATGTATATTAAAGGTACTTCTGGAACAGCAATTTCTATTGCTGAATTAATTACTGAATTAACTCCTGCTGTCAAGAAAAGTCTTAAAACAGCATGCAGATATGTCAGCACTAGTCTGTAGCTTTCTAAAAATAAGCACTTTACATAGTTGTAAAGTAGTTATTTCACAACACCTCACTGTGAGAAGGGTCACTATTTTCATTCCAGTTTTACAGATAAGAGCGCTATATCAAGAGTTTTAAACATTTACCACAAGGTTACGAGAGCAAGATGTAAACGAAGTAAGAATTCTGTGACTCAGTCAGTCCCCAGGACGTGTGCTTCATGGAGTCTGGAATGTTCCCCTAATGAAGCTGCACGCTTCTCCTGGGGCTGCTCTTCTCACGCTTCATGAGCACGAACAAGGAAGGTCACTTAAGTCATTTTAAACAAATGGGAGAATTTCGAAATAAGCCAGGAGCTTTCTCCAAAAGGCAAATGAATCCTGTTTGTACATAAGTTATCAGAATTAGAATTACCTGGTTTTCTTTCATGTTTAAACATTTTTTTTTCAATTTAGCACAGCAGTTTAAGTATACAATGATCTACTTATTCCCTAATTTTATATATCTATATCTATATATATATAGATATAGATATAGATATAGATATATCTATCTATATTTTTTTGGGGGGGTAAAAATTTCATCTGTGACCATGTAATTCCTTCAATTTATAGCAACAATTAGACAATACTCCATTGTTTATTCTAAAACTCATCCTAAACTATCAATGAGAATTCTATGTGATGCTACATTCGCAGTGAAGTTTTGAGAGATGCATAACCTTATATTAAAGATTGGGGAGGGCAGTTTATGTCAAATTTCAATAAATACTTAATATATTTAACAACTTACAGTTTTCAATATTCTCTACAGCCTTTCCCAAGTACTGGTTTCATCACACTAGTAAGTATCTCCTTATCAGTGTCCCCACACGCAATAGGCAGCATTCCCACACTAACTTAATTCAGAGACCCTTTCTTGGAGACTATTTTATAACCTGTGTTTCTCAGAAAGCACTCTGGGACAGGCTGCATTATAGACATTCCCTGACTTAATGAATCGTATTTTACAAAAGGGGTCCTACTTCAGAGTGAAATTATCACTTCCCATAATGAGTTTTAAGTCATTTTCAACTCATTTCTAGTGAGTGAATTAAAAAAATTTCAGAAACATATATATATATTAACTAAATGAGTAAAACTGAATTAATATTTTTCTTATAATTAAAAGGACCTGCACCAACTCTGCCATGACTACCCAGGTCGCCAACGTCTTGTTCACGAATATAACCCACTCTCCCCTTCAGCACCAGCTCAGCTGGCCTGGTCAGCCTTCAGCTGCCGTGGGCAAGGGGCACCCTTGGCAGGCTGGCCCCCACAAAGGGCACACCTCTCTGGCCTATCCCTTACTCGTCCTTCATCTAGACCTGGGCTATTTACAACTCAGTTGTTAGACGGTATAGCATTTTCTTTATTGCAGACATTTCTCTTTTAAAAATTCTACCCTCTCCTTTACGCTTTTGCTCAGCTATTTCAGGAAACTTCTTTTATCCTTTCTCTATTTCTCATTCTGCTCCTGAACCTAAACTGAAACTCTACATACTGTCTGAAAAGTATACAAGTTCTACCGGGTAAGTGGCTGTTAAGGAAATGGAAAAGCATCCATTTTGGGTGAAAAAACACACAAGCCCATGTTGTCGAGCATGGCGCTCCCTTTTCAGTACTCAACGATCCTTTGAGAAACTCCTTAAGTCTCTCATTTCTTCTTACTTAAACGACTTTTTACTGCTGAAGAAACTACTTGTTAGTACTGTTTTTACACTTTTTTCATTATATATGTACATCATACTTACTAAAATATAAAATAAATGGGTTGTTGTTGACTTTCCCAGGGAGCTGAAGACAGGTATCCTTGTACTCACAGGAAAATGGGAGTTCCAACTGACCTGCTAACAAACCCTTAGAATGTAACACGTTTACAGAGTCTGAGACCCCTCACGGATCAGCATATTTTTCTTCACTTTACACTTTCCTAACATGCTTCATTTCTGGACAGGAACAATATGTTGCTTCTTCCTTCTTATCCTCATCTTTCCTCAAAAACCTTCCCACTTCTCCACAAAAGTTAGATTGGCCAATTGGAAAGTGTTCACTAGTTAAGGATAATGTATAATGCTTTATAAGCTGCATCGGGACTATCTTTTAACAGTTGCTATAATGTAATACACAAGCTTAATATGCAGTGAGCAAATGCTAATAAAAAAAAGATCTGGCATAGAAGACAAAAAGGTTAATCGATATCAGAAAGGTCTCGTAGCAGAACTGCATACATGCTCTAAATCTGGTTTGTTTGTTTCTTTTTTCTTTTGTGTGTGTCAAAAAGCTTGGCCAATGACTGCCATACCTCACACAATTACAGTAGGTCAACGACATGGTAAAAATGGAGTCTGGCTCAGTGTCTTTTACCCTGTCACATGGGAAGAAATTATATCAACAAAAACAAATGGTAACAATGATTCATTTCCAAGTACTTAATGCCCGCCCCTGTCTTTGGGGACCAATTCCCTTGACACAGTGGGACGGCAGTGGTGGACTCACTGTCACACAGAGAATGGAATAGCAGCCCCCGCCCCCCCCCACCACCACCAAGGGAAGGCAGAACAAAGGAGGGAGCAAACATGTGAAGCAGTTTCAAGTTTTATCATTTTACTTTACATGTGATGCTGACTTCACTACAAAGCCACTTTCGTAAGCCTAACAGTGAATATTCAGTCACATATTGTTTTAAAGAAGCCAAATCTAGGATGGTGCTAGTTTGCATCATCCAGGAAATGAGACTGGTGTGATTATAGTTGTAATTAATAACATTTGGCATACACAAAGCTAAGGTGATTGGCATGTACTTAGGAAAACATTTATCCTTTTTGCCATACATAAAATTATTTTGAAATGCCATAAAAGACATTTTTTGAAAATACAAGGTTTTATTAATTATCTGAATTTAAATGCTCATGTAAACCAAAATATCTGTAATTCCTATGTGTAAACTGTTCTGAAGAGCAATAAAACAAACACCAAACCCACACGGTCTGGGGAGTCAAAATACCCAATAAAATAAATTTAACTAAAACATAAAAGCCCAAAGAACTCCCCTATGTGTAACAGAAACTATATTACTCAAAAAGAAAGAATATTTATTAATCGAATGTAATTGGACTTTTCAGTCAGAGGATGGTAGTGTTTTATTCACTGAGAAACCAACCAGTTTCTTGCAATACCTTTTAAAACACATACACCAACTAAAAATAAAGTTAGGCTTCTTCTACAATATGTAATTTCTTCATTATGATGGAATGCAACAAAATATATTGCCCTTGGGTTGCTCACTTTCAGCCCAAACAAATGCAAATGGCTTGTCAGATGACAGCTGTCTGATAAGGCTCCCGTACCAGACCTGCATGCTTTACTTTTTTCCATGAAGCTTGGGATGAAAGGCAGAAGGCAGGAAGAGAATTAATGTAGCATACAGTCTAAAGGCGATGCTACAACCGTGATTAAGTAGAAAAGTTAAAAGGCACAGATTTTCCACAGCTCCGCTGCGTGCAACCCATCCGTGTAACAAGTTGACAGGCCTAGCGCGTCAGCTCCATCATCCCCTCCGACAGCTAAAACGCAGCGCTGCATCCCTTTTCAGAGAAAATTTGCGTCTGCACCATGAAGCGTTGTACATTATTTCTTAGCACTGCAGGGGGCTCAAGTCCATATGGAACCTTCACAAATATTACCACAGATCAAACCAGCGGCGTTTGCAGGCAGATTTGACATACCTATTTAAATGAACAGCAGGGGTCCTTGGGCAGCCTCGGGCTGTGCAGAGACAACCGCAGTGGAAAGCCAGCGCCCCAGCTCCATTACTCAGCAAAGACACACTCTACATTTATCATTCGTTTCATTTCTGCCAGGGCAAGAAGCTCATTTGCCCAAGGTCAACAAAAAACGAAAAGAAGGTTTTCTTTTTTTTCCCCAAGAAATAAATGTACCTGACATGTGGGGATTTTGTCCTTTGGGGTTGGAGAGCGCAAGCAAACACCAGACAGTTCTAAAAAGGGGAGGAACTGTGTGCCTGGGATTCAAGCAACCTGCAATCTGACTGGATGGGGTAAGCCCAGTGACTATTTCTGTAACTCGAAAAAATCGTACAATGAAAAAAATAAAACTTGACTTCTGAGAATAAAATGGGTTCTGCTGCTTAAAACTAGGTATTTGCATCCAGGCTTGTCCCCCATAGTAACTCTGCGGCACTCCCAAATATGCACACTATCAAACACTAGTGCTCCGAAACAAAAAAGTTCTAGTACACGCCAATGCAGTCCGAAGTCAAAGTGTAATAAAATCATTTCTTAGGTCTTTTGGGGGTTTCAGACCCTGCATTAGCCTAAGAAAAGCAACAATTGTATATGAATAAGCAAAAATACAATGACTCAAGGTGAATGTCTTCCAGCCCCACTGGGTTATGTTACGTGCTCGGCCCTTTTCCGGCTTCAGGTCTTACCTGGACCGCACATATGTGCGCTGTCACAGAGCTGAGCATGTGTCTCCTCACAGGATCAAAATTTGTAAAGAAAACATTTTGAGGACAATCATTCTATGATAAATTCTGTAATGTTTACCTTCAGCAAAATTGAATTAATGAAACATGAAGCCTTTCAAACATGTTGTCTTACCTCTGGAAGTCTTATTTTTGTCCATTATGAAATGTACTAGGTGAGCTCTGAAGCTGAGTAAAATCTCTGGTATAATTAGTTACTTAGCTTACAGTTTCTATTTATCATAAATGTAATATACTTACATGCATTAATGAATAATACGATGGTTTGCCAGTATAAAAGAGAAAATGAAACGGACGGCCATCTTCTCCCCACTGGATTGCTAATAAAAAGCCAGACGAAAACAAATAAAATAAAAATATACACAGGGACCAAATAGTTGTATTTAGTTGCAGTTATGACACATTTATCATTCTGATTAATTTTGAAAATTAATATAAAAACATTAATATTTAGAATTTCAATATTTAGTATGTATAACATGTAAAATTTTAAGATATTTAACACCTTTTAAAATAAAACAATGTTTCTATTTGATAAAACATTCTTACATATCTCATCATGGGAACTTCTATAACTTGTTTTAAATGAACACACATAAAATAGCCAAAATCCTCCTATTAGAACAAAAAAAAAATTAGGTTTGGCTGTTAATACAATGCACTCCCATATTCTTAAAAAAGAAAACTGATAAAAATCAATAATGTAGTTCATTCAGGAAATTAGAAATGGGCATAATATAAAAAAGAAAAAAACTAAATGGATTTCTCCATGCCACATTATTTGTTTCAACTCCGTGGTGATATACCTCTGAGAGTTTAAAATGTCTAAAACAGAAGGGGCCCCCGAAAGGTGTCATGTGTAATTCCTTTTGAAATACAGATGGTCATTCACATCTAATAAACACCAAACAAACTGAGAAATGGAGTCTCTGTAGTAAATAAGCCAAACATAGCTCCCTGTCCTTTGCCCATATTTCTATTGAGTTGTTTCTGTTAATGATTTGTAGGCACTCTAACAGATTAAAGATTACACTCCTCTATCCATTGCGTAAGTTGCAAACTCTTTTCTCCCAGTCTGTCACTTGCCTTTTAATTTTGTCTTTCATAATCAAAAAGTTTAAAATACATGTATTTGTAGAATTTGTCACTTTTCCTCTATGGCAGTGTTTCTCAACTGTTTTTCATTATCCCTACGAAGGAGCCTTTTTAGACAGTTTTTTCTCTAATTGCCTCCCTCCCCATGAAATTTTAATACCACAGATACACTGCACATCTGTTGATGTATACTGTGGCCCTTTGGAGGGCCCAAACATTCAATAGCTGAAACTTTTTCATCTCCTGTGGACCAATCTATGCCCCCTTGTGGGCAACATCACCCCTATTGAGAAAGCATGCTTTAAGACTTTGGGCTTTCTAAAACTTATTTTCCTATATTTTCTTCTGCAAGTTTTATTTGTTTTTATGTTCAGAAATTTAATCTAATTGGAATTTACATTTGTGAGGTAGAAATCCAAGTATTTTGTCCAGGAAAGAGTTGTTACCCATTAGTTTTTTTAAAATACTACACTCTTTTCCGTTGAAACACCGCCTGCATAATTATGTAGGTTATCTTTCCCTTCTGAGAATAAATGGCATCACACACAGGCCACTTTAAGTGAAAACATTTAAAATGAAAACCAAAATTTCCTATTAAATGGTGAAAAAAAAGTGCTGATAGGGAGTCTAGCTTGAAAAATAAAACAAGGGCTGGCCGAGTGGTGCGTTGGTTAGGAGTTGGCTTAGGACATCAGCTCTGAGAAGCAGGGCCTGGTTCGGATTCCACATGAGGGCCAGTGACCCTGCGCCCTCTACAGCTAAGATGGTGAACAACAGCTCGACCTGGAGCTGGGCTGCCGTGAGTCGCAGGCAAAGGCATAGGCTGCAGCGGGGCTGGCCGGCAGTTGGCATGCACTTTTGTGAACTGCCCTGAGCCGTGGTGAGCGGCTGTCCAATGGCCAGCGAGCGACAGCCTCAGCCAGGAAGAGCGCAATGATCACTATGCCAACATGGGCCAGTGAAGCGATGTCCTCTACAACTAGATTGAAGAACAAAAAGGACAGCAACTTGTCTGTTCCCCTTCCCTGATTCCCCAACGCTGTTCTCCCCCAATTCCCCAACTAAAAAAATCTTTAAAAAAAATTTTTATTTGCCAATGACTTATGGATGAATTAAATACTTTCCCAACATCATTTTCATAGACTTCATGAAATCCTGCATATTTTCCAGTATTTGAAACTTTACTGTGCAATTAATTTTCACTCTATTGTCAAAACAGTCAGAAAGTGACCAAGAAAGAGAAACGTCATGGTTGCAGATAACCCTACTGTAAATCTTGGAGCAATTTTTGAGTTGGGTCTCATTTCATGTGAGTGTGTGTGTGTGTGTGTGTGTGTGTGTACTTTATTTCATAACGTATGCATGTATATACATATATGTGTGTGTGTATATATATATATATGCCTATATATATACACCTATATATATATGTATACACACACACACACACACACACACACACACACACACACACTTGATTTCATCCAATCTAAGATGTCACAGATTTATAAGATGCCTCATCATGTATCTTACACAAAGAAAAAAAGCTGATGGCACGCTTCATAGTTTACATTAATTGTAAAATGAATCCTGTTGTCAATGATGTTAAAATTTGAAAAACCGAGTCTTAGAACTCACAAAATATGGCATAAACAAATACTGACACTGAATGCTCTAATCAGGTCTATTCTGCAACCACTACCGTCACTTAATTAAAATCAGCTTTTTGCTGCATTTTGATACCCGGTAGGCTAAGTTTCCTTCTTTATTCTTATATCTTTAAAAATTTCTCACTATTATTTTGCACATTTGCTCTTTCAAATAAACTTTACAAGTTTCTCCCAAAAGTCCTACCAGGACACTGACTGAAATTATATTAAATTTATTAAAAATTTTAAAAGTACCTACTTTGCAATATTATCTTTCCTTACAGGATCATGGAATCATTTTTCAGCTCTTTAGATTTTCACTTATGATCTTTAAGTTTATAATTTTCTATATAAATCTTACATATTTTTGTAAGCTTTATTTCTATTTTAGTTTTTGTTACTCTTGATACTGCCCCCAGTTATCTATATTCTATAATATTAACATGAATTCCACAATACATTCTTCTATTGTTTTTTAAATAGACTTTGTTTTAGAGCAGTTTTGGGTTCACAGCAAAACTGAGGGGAAAGTACAGAGTTCAGTCATCCCCCTGCCCCACATGTGCAAGTCTCCCCACCCACCAGGGTGGTGCATGTTACAACTGATGAACCTACGCATCATCATCACCAAAGCCCATCGTTTATATTAGGGTTCACTCTTGGTGTTGTACATTCTATGGGTGTACCTAATGCCACGTATCCACCATTAGAGTATCCCAGAGACTGTTTTCACTGCCCCAAAAGTCCTCTGTGTTCCTCCTGTTCAGTACTCCCTTTACCCCAACCCCTGGTGACCGCTGACCTTTTTACTGTCTCCATAGTTTTGCCTTTTCCAGAAAGTCATATAGTTGGAATCATACAAGTAACCTTTTCAGATTGGCTTCTTTCACTTAGTGATATGCATTTAATTTTCCTCCATGTCTTTTCATGGCTTGATAGCGCCTTTCTTTTTAGTGCCGAACAATATACCATTGTACCGGTTTAATTACCCATTCACCAACTAAAGGACATCTTCCAAATTTTGACAATTATGAATAAAGCTGCCATAAACATCTGTGTGTAGGTTTCTGGGTCGTATGGTAAGAATACGCTTAGTTTTGTAAAAACTGCCAAACTATCTTCCAGAGTGGCTGTACCATTTTGCATTCCTAACAGCAGTGAACTCCTGCTGTGGATTTTGGCCATTCTAATTGGCGTGTAGTGGTATCTAATTGTTGCTTTAATTTGGATTTCCCTGAGATGGAGCATCTTTTCATCTGCTTATTTGCCATCTGAATATCCTCTCTAGTGAGGTATCTGTTAAGGTCTTTGGCCCATATTTAAATTGTTTGTTTTCCAATTGTTGAGTTTTAAGAATTCCTTACATATTTTGGATAACAGTCCTTTATCAGACAGGTATTTTCTAAATATTTTCTACCATTCTGTGGCTTGTCTTTTCATTCTCTTGACAATGTCTTTTGCAGAGAAGAAAATTTTAATTTTAATGAAATCAACTTATCAATTCTTTCTTTAACAGATCAAGCCTTTGGTGTTGTATCTAAAAAACCAAGGCCAAACCCAAGGTCTTCCAGGTTACTTATTGCTTCAATTTCTTTAAAAGATAATGGTCTTTTCAAATTGTCTATTCATTCTTGTGTGAGTTTTGACAGATTATGTCTTTCAAGGAATTGGTCCATTTCATCTATTGGGTTGTCGGAAAAGTCATGACGTATTTTGTCTATGTTTTTCAAAGGTCATTTATTTATATAAAGAACAAAGATCAATCAATGATATATTGCCCATTTTGTTAGGTAATCTTTTGCCATCTTTCAGTGAGCTTCATAATTCCTCATTCATAGAAGGACCTGTCTTTATTGGTGAAAAACTGAACAAGGTGCTGATTTACAGCCTCATCTGAATTGAACATCAACATCATACCACGCAAGGAGTTTTGAAGACAGCGAAACAAGTGGAAGTCTGACGGCGCAAGGTCAGGCGAGTATGATGGGTGTGGCAACATATCCCATCCAAGCTCCAATAATTTTTGACGGGTGATCAAACTTGTGTGTGGTCTCGCGTTGTCACAATAGAACACAACTCCTTTACAATTAACAAGCTCTGGACGTTTCTGGATGACGGATTCGTTCAAACTGTCCAATTGCCGACAGTACACATTCAAATTGATTGTTTGGTTCCTTGGAAGGAGCTCGAAAAACATGACACCTTTAAAACCCCACCACATGAGAGCATAACTTTCCTCTGATGAATGTCTGCTTTCGATGTCATTGGAGGCGAATCATCACGTTGGAATCAAGACCGTTTGCACACCACATTGTTGTAAACAATCTACTTCTCATCACCAGTTATCAGTTACTTTAAAAAAGAATCGTTTTCCTCACGTTGAATGAGCATATTGCAGATGTTTATACACGCCGTCAAATGAACTTTGAGTTCACGCGGAACCCACATATCGAGCTTGCTTACATATCGCAGCTTCTTCGGGTGGTCGTGAATGTCTGAATGATGGATGTTCGATGTTTCTGCAATCTCTCATGTCGTGTAATGCGGGTTTGACTTGATCAATGCTTTCATTTTGT